AACGTGATTTAGATTTTTGTTATGTTTGTAGTCATTACTTTTTTTCCAAGTTTTATCAAAGTAGCTTTCTTTTTAAATTTTGCGTTTTTTCCAATAACATTATTAAATGGTGTATTATTAAAAGGGCGGAAAAGTTAAATGTTAAATTAAGCTTTCGCTACTGATCACTAGGTGACGCTCCTGAACTTTTAAAAATGGGATTTTTATTTTTGTTATGTTTATATTCTTTATTTTTTCCGATTTTCACAATAATTTCATTTTGCTTACGTTACTAAAGTAGATTCATAATGAGTGACCTATACTCCATTCATTATAACATTAGAAGAAAAAGAGATTATTTTACATTTTATTAAAATTATACATATAGGTATTACATAATATTACAGTCGCTTCTATAAATTTTAAAAATATTTATTATAGTTTTGTTGAAACTTTGAACGTCTGAAAGATTGCTCTTTTCCATTTTTTACGATACCTCGGGGTTGAGATAAGGGCAGCTTTTTCTGTTCTTTTGATTGTTGTTTTGATAAATTCTAATTGTAAGTGTATATAATTAGAATAGAATTTATATCTATATATAATAGTTATATCTATGCCCAAGAAAGAAATGTAAACAAAATGAAAAATTTATTATTACTTTTATAACATTTATTCAAATATCATTAGATAATTGATGAAGACATTGGAAAAACTTCCTGAAATGTCAAAGTTAATTGTTGTAGGCCACTCGGGCCTGCACCAGCATCATCCATATTTAACAAAATTTAACAACAAAAAGATAACAACTAATACAAAAATATAAACAAACAACAATAACTACTTAATCTCGAAAAAGGGCAAAACAACAAGAAAGGCAGTAGTATTCACAATTAATGACAATACCAGATTACGAATTTTGACTGTTATGAACAATTATGAATACATCATAATCTGACAAAATTAAAAAGCTGTACTGCCGAAACGTTTGAATGGATTAGGCAACGTTTTAAATTTGGTAAAGTTATAATGACATCAGAATCGTGCCGAAACTATCTAAACCTGCTTCTTTAGGTTCTTTAAGAGGAACACTTTTAATTATAATAGTTATTAAATATATAGCAGCTAGCATTTAAGTGGATATGTAGCAAATTAGCCGTCAGTCTTAAGAGTGACATGATTATTGATATTTTGTCACAAAGTATACCATAAAAAGAATCATATTTAACTTCTGTCTAATGCTATAATGAATGGAGAAAATGGAAAGATAGTGCTGACACAAGCATTGCTACTGTCAACATCAACTAATCAGAGAGCAGGGTATTATTTGCCGTGAAATATGATTATGTTTAAATCATTCTTTATATAAAATTATTTCTTAATTAACGTATTAAAATCGTATTAAGTTGTCTTTGGTAAATCTATGTAGAAATATAGAATTGGAATTCAAAATTGTTTTGTTGAATGAATGTATTTAAATCGTGTAATGGTCTCCTACGTGAAGTTGGCAGTAATGTGGTGACGCAAAGTGCCATTAAAGTTAAGAAGAAGAAGAAGAAGCCGTGAAATACGTAAGAAGCGTAAAATTAAAAGCCCTTCTGTAATTAGTCGAATCGTTCAGAATCTTACGAATATATATTCGTTAGTTTATAAATCCACCACGAGACATCACAAATTGATAAACAAAAATGTGAGCGTAAAATAATATAATTTATCTCTCGTTTAGAATAATACAAAAGTTTATAAATTCCCTAGGAAATTTATCAATTTACGGTTCTTGTTATATTCTTTAGACATATATTAAGAATTTAATAGGTATACTATCTCACTTCAGTTGGCTTTACAAATTTACGAGTAAAACGGACAGTTGCACAAACGCCCATTAAGGTTTAATGATGCCTTTAAGCTCTAATGAATGTCAAATTTGTATGAGTAACACCGCCTTAAACTAATGATATTTTTAATGGACGTTTGTGCAACTGGTTGTAAGGGTGCTTGTGCACTACACCGAATTTTCAGGTACAGCGGTCCATTTTTTTCGGTCTGGAATGACATGAAAAACCCGGATGAGAAGCTTGTGCACTTGTCCGTTTTTTCCTGATCGGAGCGGCGCAGTTTAGGACAGCTCTCTTTGAAGCTACACGTCACTTACGCTAGGTACGAACGTCGACAATTGCTCGCTTTGTTACTCTACGTACGAAGACGTAGAAGACAGAAAAAATATTGGGTTCATCCCCTTATAAGTGAAAGATAGCTAAATAATGACATGACTGGATCATTTTACATAAACCATAATAAATTGAGGCAAGACGGAAGCATTTTTTTTCTACTATCGGATGACTACTATCAGATGTAAAAACTTATACCCTTACTAATTTAGGAACAGCATTATTCACATACAATAGCTAAAAATATCTGTGACATTAGAATAAAATTACTGATACTGTCTAGTACTTGATGTTTAAATTTATAAACGTGCTATTTATTTTTCTAAGATTGTAAAAACAACTTTAAGCGATTACAGAGATAGACCAATCGGTGGCACCATTTCGTAAATAAATCGAAATTAGTGCCGTGTAAGCGTAGAATTAATATGCTAAATAAACATTACGAGATCAGTTGAGTGTATTATATATATGCATAATTTTATACGCGTAGTTTCGTCTTCTTAGAATACTTCTTTTTTAAATTTATTTATGACACAAATAGTCATTTCAAATTTTATTGCAATATAGACTTAAATGCGAAAAAGATATTGAGTGCCACTTAATTACTTCTGTTAATCTTCTGTTTATTCTTTATTATTACTACTGTTATCAAATATTTATCTATACTTATGAATTGTCTAAAAAATTTTAATTTAAGTCTATTTACTATATTAATTTCCATTAAGATGGATTTATATCTTTCCTTACTTTTAATACGATTCTAAAATCTAGCTAAGTATCGATACTAGAACCATACGCTGATCAAATTAGAACTATACCGAGTTTGCCAAAGCATATGCAGTGATATTTAACAACTATATTAAATGATCATATAAAATATAGCATTTTATAATCTACAATAAATATCGATAATAAGTTTTTTGGAAATTAACAATATTGCCGAAGAAAATATTGATTATACACAAACCGAAGATATTTTCCCAAGCCTATTCCTTATGAATTTTCCGGATCGCGGACACAGCAGTGCACAAGCCATAGATAATACATAATACTCGCACAAGCGTAAATACGTTTTTCATTGCCGCCATCACGGACCTAAAAAAATCGGTCCGGAATAGAGAAAAGTAAAATCCAGGACGGTAAAATTCCTGACAGTGCACAGGCGCGCATTATCTTTATATGGCCTGACATATCGGACCGGAAAAAATCGGACCGCCGGACATGAAAATTCAGTGTAGTGCACAAGCGCCCTATGTGAACTAAATATGTTTAACTCGAAAATTTTGAACAACTCCGAAACCAACAAACATGTTTTTGCGTTATTTACGGATAAGCAAAACAAAATAATGTATGGGTAACTATTAATGAGACACTTTGATACTTATCTAAACTGTCGTTAATTCGCAAGAACCTTATTCGGACTAAGCATCTTAGGTATGCCACAAAAAAAAAAAACTAAATAAGCGCAGAATACATTAAGAAATAGATAGGTACCGATACTGTGTTAGTTATATATAATTTCAAATTTTGCTTTCACATCATATTAAGATGGTGGGACCTAATAGCCTACTGTCAATTGTAATATTACTATCTTATCTGGAACTGAACGATCTGTCTGCCGAAGGTTTATCGTACGTAACAGTATCATCGGTACCTAATGTGCACACCTTTTGATAACATTCTGATAAATAGCACGAAACCCTGCGCTGTTCTTTTGTCTTACCTGTGGTCCTTCTTATCTAATGTATGGACTTACCTACGTACTGCTAGTTAGTGAAATTTACTATAACCCATTTACAACATTAAATTGAAATCTAAAATTTATTAAAATGATAGATAACATAAACTTAATTAAACCGTTTTTACTATCTTCAGGTATGGTAGAACACGGTTTGAGAAAAAAGGGTTAAGGAAGAAAAATAATTATGAAATGGAAAAGGAAGTTTGGTTTAAAGATCGTAGAGTAGGTTTGTGTGACAATGGGGTTGAAGGAAGTGTAGAATAAGTAAAGAATAATGTTCAGCGTATGATAACGCGACGCATCTTTCGTCAGATCTGAGCCGACCCTTATTCCAAGTTGGCTTTGGAATTTTCGATACGTATTTGTGTATTGCGTAGATATACAATTTGGTCGTACGAATAGCGTATTGACACTGGATAATTTTTTCCGTGTCCAATAATAATATGTAACTTCTATAGCTAGATAATTTTCTTCATTCGAAAACTGACATGTTTTCAGTTCAATTATATTATGTTATATTATATTATATTATATTATATTATATTATATTATATTATATTATATTATATTATATTATATTATATTATATTATATTATATTATATTATATTATATTATATTATATTATATTATATTATATTATATTATATTATATTATATTATATTATATTATATTATATTATATTATATTTTATATATGTACGAACACGTTCGATTTAGGGAACTTTACAGGCAAGTAGAACTTGCCCAGTCAGAACGCTCCCTTATTACGTACTAACTATATTCTTAACAGAAATGTTGAAGTGTGTGTATAATACATACTTGAAACTTAGTTATTTTTGCTAAGACCAATAATCCGCTATGCGTGCGCGCATGCCGTTAGTCGGATGGCAACAAGCTGTCTGAATGCCTCCAATTATCTATGCTACTATAATAGATAAGACAAATTTAAGTTGATATAAATGTGGGCACGTTAATATCACTCCTAATATTTGTATGTAGCCTTATTGCGTCAATGGACAATTTATATTCCTTTAGAGGCAAACAGTAAACATACTACTGAGCCTGCCGTTAGTCATTTATTCGATGGAAACGCCGATATACGCGCAAACGCGTGTATTAATTTAGTCCCATCTCACGTCGTCTAATGTAAAAAACTTTTTATTATACTTAATTAGATGCACCACTTATTACATAATTAAACTAAACTAAATTTTTCATTTAATTTGAGATAAAAGTAAACAGCTATTTTCATACTATCAAATATAATTGAAGAAATTAAAGTAAAATCGTGTATTATTCTAATATTGCTCTGACAGGATTAGATCCATAACGTAGACTACCTAGTTTTTGCCAACAGAATGTTTACTAACCCTTTGACATTATAATTTAAAGATTAACATTATTTTTTTGTTCTACAATATTTTTATATAGTATAGTTCAGACTTAAATATTACCGCGCTATCAAAAAACCATAACCAAGGCAAGGCAATCCCCTCTACGAATACGTTCAGAAACTATATGTAAACCTTAATATATTAATACGAACCGAACTATATCCTTTACAAGATTTCTTAATTCTAATAATATGAAACTATATAATCAACTTGAGTTGTTAGATAAACTACTCAAGTTAATTATATATTTACTAATTATAAATGTTGAATAGTATGTATACCTATGAAATAGCTGTTTCAAAACTGGCGCCGAACGAAAGCACTCAACTCCATGCAACTACGACACCTTGCGACTAAAATCAGAAACGATAATGAACAAAGAGAGAAGCTAGCCACCACTAGAAAAATAAGGTTGTGTTCTGTCTCCGTCTATTGCATAAAAAATGTTCAAGTGTGAATGCGATGCCCTGTACACTTTCGGCCATCATAACCATCTTTCATTCTTGTGCAACTGTTTCTCTTCGGCCGTGTACTAGTGCAAACGCAGGATGGACGCCATTCGTACGAGATAATTTTTGTTCGCTCCTGAAGCGTATATACGTGTTCGGTGTCGGGCGTGGAACTATGCTATAGTGAAACTGGTGTACGGTGCTTTCGGTCTGGCGGTGCAGTGTCGACGTGCTTGGAGATCGGCCTCAGCTCGAGGCAAGGCGGTGAGACGAGGCGCGTGCAGCAGCCCGAGGCATGGCGGGCGCGAGCTGAAGAGACGGCCGCGGCCTCCGGTGTCAGGCCGCTCGCGCTCCGCCGCCGGCCCAATGAGCGGGGCAGATTCTACGCGGCGGAGGTTATTTTATGGGTATTTGCGTGAGCTGCCGGCGCCGCGAGCGGAAGGCACCCGAGAAACGGTCGGTGCCGGGTGCAGGCGGGACCGCTAAGGGCCCTGCGGCGGCTGAACTGCTGCCGCGGCGTGTTGATCACCTGCCAGCCATGGCCAACTCCATTTCCAACATCAAGATGACCAACCCAATCAAGGGAATAGTCAGCAAGCGTCGAAAACGATATATGAAGGACGGTTTCAACTTAGACTTAGCATGTATCCTTTTCAGTGTATGAAATAGTTACTTTGTGTCGTTTAATTTCCGGCATAAATGTTCCACTGGGTGAGTCTTTTTTATGTCCAATTTCCGTATGTTTGACCTTGAATCTTCATCACTACTACATGACTAAAAAGATCTTTCTCAAACTTGTACAAAGTATATAAGATAGGCGTGATGACCTGGCTTGACCATCCTTTTAGTTTTGTCAAGGGCACTAGATTCATAACCTATAAATTTATTCTTGGACCGTAAGATGAAGTTCACATCTTTAGTCTACACTAATCAACGATGGAAATATGCATTGTAGTAGAAATACTTTAATTTGGTACAATATTGATACTCAATGAATAGTTTAATTAATACTCTTATTAGAGTTACAAGGTTTCCACTAAGAAAATAGATTGAAGCTCTTAGCAAATTTACATACAAAACTCAACTTATTGACTAATTTTTGACTCAATTTGTTGCAATTGTTGATTTTGTACCCAGCACATAAATATTATAAACATTGCATTAGTAAAACTTTAAAAAATCTTGCATAGCAACAAGCTATACTAACCTACAAATTTGTGTACACAAGCTTGTTTAAATGTCTTTTATAACTCTACACAGAAACTAGCTGATAATCATATGGAATAGCTATAGTTACTTGGAAATAGTGGTGTATTGAGGTTTTTGTTGAGGTTTTGATACAATATTGCATTCTGTTATTCTTGTATGGGTTTTGAAATTTGAAACTGAGTTTATTGATTGAATCCATTTATATTTTGTTTATATATTATAGTTGTCAAAAGGTCATTGGAGTGTCAACAATAAATATAAGTACAGTATATAAGATATATAAAATAAATAAATAAAAACTAAATTCAATTTTTATTTATTATTTTTATGTTGTGCACTTGGAATAATGAGTGTAGACGCTTTCTTTCTTTCTTTCTCATAGTCTTTTTGGATAATCAACATTTTTATGTTATTTAATTAAATAATTATGACTTTAAAATAATATATTTACGTAATATTGCATATAAATATTTTCAATTACTAGTTCTGCGGCTTGTCCATTAAAGGGTTTCATATTTTTATTGATTGACTCGGAGCATTGAAGGGAATGGGTTTTGAATCCTAATCACATAAGCTGCAGATATATATGATTCAAATGTATTTTATTTTGGGTACTACATGAAAGCTTCATAATTGATTCATAAGGATATACCTACTATAAGTTGACTACTCCTGTCTCTACTGCATAACTGAAGTTAGTATTGATCTGTGATGATAATGATGTAGATCCCCACGAGTACTTTAAATTATTATTGATTTGATGTATCACATATACACTGATCTAATAATACATAAAATGTATATAAAAACAGAACTCACAGTTAATGATAAGTAGACTCAGTAGAAGTTGCTCTATAAGCATGTGATTAAATGAATGATAAATTACTGTTACTGATAGCCTCTATAATTATGTTGATAAACCAATCTCTGTTGAAAGTGCTGACTATTACCTGTAGTGAGGTAAGCACCATAGATTTGTCGCACTTGGATTGCATTGACTATCTTGTAAAAGTAATGATGTTAGTACAAATCTCCTGTACTGTATAGGTTGACTAAACTCATCTGAGAGGTAGTTCCAATAGGTTATATTTTAAACTTTTTCTTAATTTTGTTTTATGAAACTTCCGGTTTTATATTTTTAATGGTGAAGGTTATTTTACATTTGCATTGCCAGTCTTAAACTCTCCACTCCACTCTCTACTACACTAAGATGAATGAACATTATATTTTGTAATGCATATTAATCAATTTGAATGCAATTTCAAAAATATTGAGCTGCAAATATTCAAGAGATAAATCTTTGGTCAATTGTACTATCACTGGCTGTTGTAAAAGTTGCTTTACCATCACATTGCAGACCATATGCTTTTTACTGTGCTGCTGCTCCTTGTATAGGTGTAGAACAAAGAAATTATAAATTTTATTCAAAATGAAAATATATTTAGTGACTATTTGGGAATGAACTCGATTGTTTGCTTAATTTCTCCTTGATTCTTAAGAACATAATGTCTTACTTCCTTAAAACATCTTATAATCTGGGGATAAAATGTAACAAATATGTTTTTAGTTTGTGTACCAATTGCTACTTATTTTAATACTCAAAATAGATGAAACTTCTATTAATCTAATAATAAAAATATTTTGTTTTTTTCTTTAATTTCAATTTGTTTATTTGAAGATAAAAAATTGGTGACACAGTGTTGCCTTTAAATGATTAGTATATTATAATGTCATCAAACACATTTGAAAGGGCTTAGATGTAATTAGTTTATTATTATATGAAAACTGAAACAATCTTTATCCATCTTATCAGTATCGAGCCTGCATAGAGGTCATTCAACCTAACAAGATATTATCTACTTACACAAAAGTTATCTGATCATGAAAGTTCTTGTTTGCTAATCTATGTAAGTAGATTTTTTTATGTATAAAATTTCATAAACTTTTATAAATTTATTGCATATTATTGCAGAAAATAAAAAAATAATGTTACAGTTTTATAGAATAATGCTGACAACATGCACACTTATTGCTAAATTCACATAACAGTCTCTTTCAGAAAATTTTATTATCTAAAATTATTAGTCTTTTTATTATCTGACTGATGAACTAAATAGATTTTTTTTTATCCATTCGTCATCCCTATTGTAGCCTATGTCACCCTCGTATTATGTAGCTTTCCGTAGACAAGAGAATTTTACATTTTTTTTACACAGGATGTTAGAAACCACGTCTTTATAATATTATAGAATAAATCTTGTCGAAATGGCGCGACTTCGCCGTGAATTAAGACGCGAATTCAGGTACAAAATTGTAACACGTTATAAACTGGTATAAGTATAGTTTAAAACTCAAAACCACATACATTGCGGCTCGAGATTCCCGTCTGCTGCGTGCGCTTGCATAGAAGGTTATGTGATACAAATCAAAAATTTCAGAATCGAAGTTTGGTCTGGGCTTAAGACAGCAAAGCTACCTAAGTAACACCAAGACCCGAGACAGCATATGGTTATTTTCTACATTTATTTGTCCAGGAATCGGGAATAAAATATGAAATGCAGTGTTTATTCATGTGTCCAACTGCTCCAGGGAACAAATTCTATATTCGTTTCTTTATTTAGATTTCATGGATTCTTTTAACGGAAATACATCCTTTATTTATTGTATCATTATAATTGATGATGATAGTAATAATTTTATTAACAGCATATTTTTTGAAATAGCTTATCATATCCTTTCTATTACTCATTTAAGATTACGTGTGAAAAGCTACAGATTCTTTATAAATTTTATTTTAGATATTCATTCTAAGAAACATGCCCACATCCCGTTTGCCGTATCTCTGAATTTGTAGCATGGTGATATATGGTACTGAATTCTTATTACAAGTATTATATTGTGTGCAATTAAAAAAGTTTATGAATAGCAAAAAGGTATTATACACGCAAAGTCTTCCTATCTTCACTTATCAATTTGTAGGTAATTTGTTTTTAATTGTACATTATAGCGTGTTAACTGGTACTAAGGAGCAGGTTTAATTATAATTATTCATTGTATTTGCGACACGAAACCTGACTTCATCCTTCCAATCCACAGAGTAATGTATCAACTATCAAATCAGTTAGTATAAAAAAATGATTCATGTTCTAAATTATTACGCCTTTTTAAGTATGAACAAGATAAAACCTTTTGACTAAGGCTAACCTACATGAGTTTTTTAAATCTAGTTAATAGTGTGTGTGTGTGTGTGTGTGTGTGTGTGTGTGTGTGTGTGTGTGTGTGATCTACCAACTGAGTAGTCCATAATACACCTAGCTTTTTTACTTTTTATTTCGTTCTTGGCAGTCGTGTTTTTTACACTACTTCGAGTTGTCACATTTGCAAGTTGTAAAAAAATCTGACTCTGTTATCAGTCTCCTGATAAATAATTTAGAATAAAGTCAAAAATATATGTAATGTAGTTATTTTTTTCATTTTCAGAAGGTTATAATTGAAATAAAGTATAGGTTGTGTAATAACAAAACAGTACTACGTCGATTAGAAAAGAGCTCTAAAATAAAAGGTCTGTACTATTAACAACGACCGTTAACAAGTGGGTTTAACAATAAAAAAAGAGGGTTTTAACTGCTCGATTGTTTCAACAGCCATTTTTGTTTGACATTATGAAATGAAACAGGCAACGTAGATGCTAAGCATCGTAAATTTCTGTGTGCGTGCGCGTTCCATATACTTTAACAATACTATTTTGTTTATAATGCTTATGTCCCATATACTGCCGGGTCCGAGTAATGTTCCTTTACGTACTGAATTACCTTATTTTATCAACATTGTCCTTGCGCGTGATGTCACGTTAAAATGCGTATTATATGTTGTATGACAAATTTTGTTTTGCTAGTTTTATTTGCACATAGTTGTAACCTAGAGCCAATTTATTGTAGAGTAAAAATTTTTTTTATGAAATTACTAAATATTTTGATTGACAAAAATAACAGTTCTGCTGTGTGTATTGTGTATTTTCAGAAAAAAATATGTTTTTAGTGATAGGTATAGAAAATTTTATATTTTTTGTAGGGATACTAATTTTACTTTAAATATAAAATATTATCCGTGTTTTAAAAAAATATATAGTTTTATGATATAAATTGATTTATGTATGCTATTATTCTTTTTAGATTTCCGTACCCAAAGGGTAAATAGGAACCCTATTACTAAGACTTCGCTGTCTTGTCTGTCATCAGGCTGTATTTTATGAACCGTGAAAGTTCGACAGTTGAAATTTTCACGTATTTCTGTTGCCGTTTCAACAACAAATACTGAAAACCAGAATAAAATAAATATTCAAGGGGTCTCCCATACAACAAACGTGTTTTTTTGCTTGTTTTCGGTAAGTCCAACTAGCACTTGGCCGGTTTTTTTTTTTAATTCAGAATTTTAA